GGAGACCATCTCACCCCACGCTCGGGCCTCCTCTTGAGGCTCCTCTGCTTCCTCAGAAAACCTCAGCGGTTTTTTTACTTGTTCCTTTCATGATACAACCATGTGGCTGTGGGTCATCAAAACCGGGGGCCAGTGGTTCACCACAGAACATGAATAGAATGCATAGACGACCAGGGAGGATGTTTGTAGTGCCCTCCGGTCACTTGGATAGTGATCAGGACCTCTGTCATCAGGACGGACTCTCACAATTACTTAAATCCAAACTAACACCCAGACACGACTAATGGGACTGCCATATATGCTGATCAGTTGGGGTGGTTGAAAGGGGGGTCAATGGGGCAGCATATATGGCAGTCCCATGGAGTCCCTGGGACATTTAGATACTCTAGCAACTTATAGACTCTATGACACAGAGCCAAATGTCCATCCCGTCCATCGGGCGATTTGACACATCATTAACCGAGTCTGTATCAAAGTGCAGGATTCTCTCTGTACTCAAGACGGTGCTTTGCAGCTTATCTCAAGATTATTGGCAGAGCACTCCGTGGAACCCCAAACAGGCAGCTGGCACGTTCGGCCACGTTTAGAACTTTTGCACACACCTTAGCAGGCGGGTCTTTAACGCCCAGCGCCAAAAAAGGCTATAGGTGTTGAACTTGTCCGAATTTTTTTCCCACAGATTCGTTGATTTCCAAGACAGCCCGTCAAAAAGGCGCTCCACATCCCCGTGCTGGGGGGGAACCTGTGAGGGCGCACAATAGAGCCTATTTTAGGTCTATTTCAAATTAAGCTGACACCATGTCGTCACCTCCTCCCCCCAATGAATTGAAAAGGATTTCGTCTCAAACAAACGCCAGGATTTGTTGTTCCCTTGTCTTTCCCTCCATCGAATTCCAAAGATTCTCAACCCAAGGAGCTCATCTTCCGCCTCTTCTGGCTCATCTTCCGCCTTGAATGGTTTCAAGAAGGCATGGCTGTGAGCTCCCCAGCATGGGTTCGGTTGACATCCACCATGGAGGAATCAGGAATCGGTTCAATTCGCTTCATGTTCAGTCAACCAAGGTGTCCAGGGTTAGGACCCACTATGATCGAGTAAGTGGTCGAAGTGATGAGATCTGCACACCTCGAAATCCATGAGTTGTCCAACAGCAGTCCCAACATGTCCCAATTTCCACTGGTTCAACGAACTCCCGTAAAATGATGTTGTTTAAACGAATCCAAGGCCATTCAAATGGTTGCTGCAGCGGCTGACATCTTGTCGCACTTGTGTATTGAGATGTTGGCAGTTCTCAAGCGTCTCATGCAATGTGGTCCTGTCCAACAAATGATGAATTGATTGGGAGGACTACCAATTATCCGCTGCAGGCGATTCAGCAGCTTCAGCGTAGATTCGAGCAAATGTGAGACTTTGTTTAAAATGAAATCCCAAACATGATCCAAACCTCTGAGGTTGGGCGTGGTTGGATTTATGAATGAACTTTGGAGAAAGTTGAGGGAATCCCCCTCTGAAAAGGGACTTCCAAAGGGACTTCATGAGACTTCCATGGGACGAATCACGCGACGAATTATTCAGAAGCCTCTGACGTGGAAGGGTCACACACTCATGTGGAGGGGTCTGAAGTCTCAAATCGGAATCTCGAAGGAGCAGGGGCTGTGAACGGAGCTTCTAGGTGGTACTGGTACTGTATATTGGTAAGCTTGACTTGGAAAACCAGCTTTATGATGCTTTATGCCATCTGAAATGGTTCTCCACACCAAATCAGTCAGCATATGTCAGCATGAACACCCCTCAACTGGCTCCAATTGAGAGGACCCCAGCGAGGTCCCACACGCAAAAAGACCTGCTCCGACCTCGTCCCTGTCCAATGGCGTCTGCCTACCTCACCTGACCCGTCTGCCTTGCCTGCCTTTGCTCTGACCGGTGACGTCTGACCGCGCCTCATCCACCACGGACTTCTCACTGAACTGTCTCCCAAACCGTGAGATGATCACCGAGTCCTCGGACAACTGGTCTCGTCGTCCGTCCGGGGCTGGTGGGTTCGGACGGTCGGAAACGCCATTGGCCCGGTGGTCCATCGTTGGGTACTTGTTTTCATGGTGATCTGGTGCCCGGAACGTGAAACACGGGTCTTTCATCACGGAACGTTTTCTGGACCGGTCTTGAGACAGAGTCATGGGTGCTCCTGAACAGGTTTTTTAGGTGCCAAGGATGGGGCGTAAATCCATTGGATCTTGTGAGGAGCGGCCTGTGGGTGCAGTTGGAAGGAAAGGTTCCTTTCTCTGTAGGATGATGATGGCCAACTGTCCCGTGGTGAACGCTTAGACGCTTGGAAATGCTATAAAAACACACACACATCCCCATGTAGACATCAAACACGGACAAATACCAGGATACTGCTGATACTGATACCAGGATACAGCAGCAAACAAACCTCGAGAAGCGATGGCCTCAAAGAGGTCTTCAACCAGAACTAGTAATTAACATATGCATGTCATATAATTATTGTATTTAACAAAATTTACTAATATGCTTAATACCATGTCATCTATTAATGACATCATCTTTAGAATCTCCATGTCCTTTAAAGGCACTCGGTCATCTCTCCCCACCGGACCCACCGGCGAACCGAGTGGCCGAGTTGTAGGTCGGCGGCAAGCCTTTGGGCGTCAGATCCTCGACGACCTCCATCGACGGTGATCGGTCCGACCGATGTCGGTGAGGAGTTGACCACCCGCAGAAGACCCGCGTCGACAACCCAAACATCGGGGGCGTCGTTTTGGCGTCGCGGTGATTTGGTGTCTTTTTGGGTCGTTTTGCGGGGTGTTGGTCGGTCAAGCGGATGATCTGGGGGAGTAAGATGATAAGTGATAAGAGATGATGAGTAAGATTGGTGGTGATTGTCTCACCTACTTTGTAGATTCCCAGACCAAAGAAGCAACATTACACACAGCATTGGTGGAAACTTGGGGCGGTGAAGACTTCACCACCTTTTGAAACCGAACTTGTTGAGACGATTTGCCCCATTCTGTCTCTGAAAGCATTCCCCACCTCTCAAGCAACGCGATTCAGGGCACACGCAGCCAGTCGCCGATACGTCACACCAACCGATTTGCGAACATTCTTTGCGGCCAGCTGGTCTTATAATTCTTCCCCAAAGAACCGGAAGTCCTCCTTGGATGCCCCACCCTTCCGGCCAACGACCTTGTTTCCCACTCGTTGAAGGGGTCAAAGAACAGATCGAATTCCAGGCACAGAGTCTGCTTCGAAACCTCATGTGTTCTAAGAACATCTAAGAACTTCCACTTGCTCATTGGTCCTTTATATAGAACCCACCAAGCCCCGAAACATAAGTCACACAAGTCACACATCAAAACACCACCTAAATCAGCAAATTCTTCTTGAAGTCTTCATCATTCACCCACCCATCTCCCTGCTCGCGTCTTCGCCCGCCTCGATGAAGGTCTTTTTCACCACCACTTTTTCACCACCTCACACCGTCGAAGCCCTCGATCGGGATCCTCCGGTGTTCTCTCACGAGTGGCACTACGTATACTGTCTTGACCAAAAGGCAGGTCAAGAGGCCTTAGTAGGATACTAAGTCACTACATGTCACTACGTCCTCCAAGTTGATCAAACGTGTTGGATGATGTATCCTCCAAGGCTTTTCGACCCCTGAAGGAGGGCGGAATCTCCCTCAAGAATGCGGCGCGACGCGGAGTAGCTGCGTAGCTCCGTAGCTCTACCGCGACGAGTAGCTACCGCGGCGTTCGGTCGGGAGAGAGTGCGGCAACGCCTGGGTTTTGTGTCCGAATTCCTGGACCCAACAATTTAGACGTATTCCTAGGGATGAACAGAGCGTGTTAGACTATAAGAAAGAAAACGGTCACAATCCTATGCACATTGAACCAAAACCTTTTCACACAGACTCGACAAATATAGACTGAGATATACTTAAAACGAGTTCAAACAAGAATGTCAGAGATCCGGATGTGTGTGTTCTCTGCTGTGGGACAGGCAAACCAGATCGCACTCTCCCGGATCTCCAAAGACTCGACCGTCACCTCGCTCGCCTGCATCCTCTGCGAAGGGCAGCCGTAACATCGCGAACGGCCGGTGCCCCGAAGCCGCGGCTGTCGCGCGACCGGTTTCCGGGGCTTTTTGTGGAGCTGGGAGCAGCGGAGCGCGCGGAGCGAAGATGGACCGGAGACACAAGGGTCAAAGGTCGGGGTTCGCAACGTGGGAAAACAAACGTCCCGGAGCTCAGTGAAACGATGTGAAACTCCAGGAATACTGCGGATCGATAGTCCGAGCTCTTTAAACATGATTTGGATGTGGCTTGAAACCAAACGCAGCAAATTGGCACAAGGCGCAGCCTCACATCATGAGGAGTTGCAGCAACAATTTGTTGTGGCCTATTATTTTCACTCCAAAGGCTATAGGATTTCTGGCAGCCAGGTCAATTCTGGACAACATAATAAACAGATTTGACCAATTTGTGGGTCAGCAAACCCTACAAACTCCTGGCGACTCGTGGCCAACGACGGTTCGAGGTAGCTGGCCTATGCCCGGGACCATCTGGGTGTCCAGGCTCCACTACCCTACACCCTACACCACTTACACGATACTCAGATGCTTGTGGGCATTTCTTGGATGCTCCTGGTGGTTCTTGATTATACAAACATTACAAGCCGTTCTTTGGGCATCTTCGTTCAGCTTCTGCTTCTTCCACCTAGCGTTCTGCTCGGTCCTGTACTCGTTTCTCAGCTTACAAAGCCGAACCCAAGTCAAAAAAGCACCAAGTCTTCACATGAAACATGTCTCAGCACTTGACAGTTGCTATACCAGCCCATGCCTAATGCACATGCCCTAGGGCCATCTAGAGCCTCAAATGAGTCTCGCCTCCAAAAGTAACTATTATACTCCTCCTCCCCAAACGAAAGTGCCACCCCCGCTCGGTTTCTGTCGGACGACTGACGGCGAGGCTCGAGAAACTGGAGGCCTCCGGAAGCTTCAGCCGGCGGCGCAGCGCGGGGCTCTCGAGCGTCTGAACACGGCCGATGCCCAGGGAGGAGGTGCCCAAGTAGCAGCTCCTGACCTGAAAAACCGCTGTGAGACCACTTGGAGGCGTTGCAAGAATGGTACTACTTGCGACATCTCTGGAAAAGAAAAGGGATGGGGGATGACACCTGGACAGCTTCTGCTCTTAACAAGTACCTTTTCACTTAGCATCGATAGGCCCCAAGCATCCCAAGCCTTGCGGACCAACGGAGCGCCCGAGCCCTTGGGTCAACACCGAGCCCTCTAAGCTGCCGGCAGCTCCATCGTCGGCCGTTTCTGAGGCGCTGAAGGTGGTGTGAGCTGGTTCGTGCTTTTGACTGATCATGTGAACTCCAGGATAGTCATAGATAATCTGGGTGATCTGAAAAAAATAAGCAAAACACTCTGATTCGAGGCAAACACTGGCACAACCTGGGATATCAAATGACGTCCGACTCACTCGACTCACTTAACCTTTTTCAGGGGGAGAGTTTGACCAAGCCATGCTACTGGATCCGTGGAGTGGCGTGGCTCCACAAGACGGCCCAAAAGACGATCCTCTTAGGCCCCACCACAAGGACCAGACCCATCCCAGACCCATCCCAACACCTTGAACATCTCACCTTCGTGTGTTCTTCCTCTTTCTGTGTCTTATTTGTGTGTCCGCAAACGGCTGGATCACCCTATAGGCTACCGCTAAATAGGCATTTTTTTGGGGGGGTGGAAGGTACAACATATTCCTCCTATGGAGGGTTCGATTAACGGTCGATGTTTGCTTTGGAGGGTGCAAGGATTCTTAGGGTGGAGCAACTTGAACGAAAGGACAGCTTCACCACTTTCATTTGATGAAGCATATCTTTACAATTGAGGATAATTATTCGATTCAGTGAACGACTGGGATGCACCGCATTGTATCTGGTTAACTTGTTGACTGACAACCCTGTATGTATAGAAACTGTCTCAAAGCTCTCCTTGTTTGGCAAAATGATAGGAACAGCATGGAACAGCAACCGCTTTTCAACGAAGTCTATGACCTATCCGTATTCTCAAGCAGTGTACAGGTCACCAAACCCTGCCTCCCTCTGAAAATCGCCCCCACCCCAAGCACACCTATACAGGAGATGAATTGCTCCAACACCTCGCTTTTCGCACTGGAACTCGGAACTGAGCGGTCACTGCCTAACTGATGTGTTCGAAGAAGTTGCGTTCCTAAGCGGTCTCCTTCCGATCGATCCAAAAAGCTTCCCCATTCTCATTCCCTCGCAGCTCTCCAAAACATCCGACGGTGACCGGCGGAACGTTCCTGGTTGGACCCGAAACCCATGTGGAACTGAGTGGACCCCCCCAAGAAATCGCAGCTCCGATGCCGTCTCACTGAAATGCTGCAACAGAATAAGGACATGATCCATGGGATTTTTATGGGCATGTCTAAGGGGAAATCCTGAATCAGTGGAATTGAGTTTCTTGTTGTTTTGCCAAATGTTCTCCGTTCAACTGGAATCACGCCCGGATGTCTTCAAACACATGGTTTTGCCGGATGTCTTCCTTCAAACATCTAAGCGTGCCTGAGAGGGGATGATGTAGCCAATATTAGAGGCCTCCATGCGCTTGCGGGAGAGGCAAAAAGTGGAGGCGGCCGAAGTTCCAACATCCTATGTATATATATATATATTTATACAGTATGTGTACAACCCAGTCTATTGTAGTCTTCTTCTTTTAGACTCGATGAACATACATGGAACAATGGTACTTGTATAGTGACGACCCAAAACGACACATAATTGCCTCTCAACATCGCTAAATAGGTTGGCTTTGGTTTTGTCTTCGACGGGTTGGCCTACGAAGGTCGAGGTCGTTCGCTACATGGTGGACTGGTTGGGCTCCAGGTTGAACAACCCATCCGAATATGGGTAACAAGCGCCCTGTGCTGTTTGGGTGTTCTGGTTGTACAAAACACCTAACCCCCCTGCTGCTATTCTCTCATTCCTGGCGATTCCCAGTGCTCCAAATCGATCCGTCACATTTCTTGAATTCGATCCGCTGGTCAATCATGAAGTTACGCTCCCCTTTAACAGGTTGTCAATTGGAAGAGAGTCTGCGCTCAGCTCGTCACACAGTCATGCTTTGGCCGCTGGAGTGAGTTTCATCCCCAGATCGCGATGAATCGCGACGAAGCGGGTACAAATCTATACACTCCCGAGTCAACTCACGTGGACCCTAACTGTCTGGCCCCCTGGGTCCGAGTGTAGGCTCCTCTACCAACCAACGTGTACTCAGGGTCCATGGGATCGTCTTCCAGAGTATAGTTTCCATTGAAATGGAACTGGGATCATTCACAATTCTGTAACCAGCGCGTTTGGCAAAAGCGTCTGTGTTCCAGTCTTTACTGCAAATCTGTCTTGCCATCCTGGGCTTGACACATATATACACAAAACTTAAACTTAAACCTCTCCGTTCACTTCCCCCAAAAAAAGAACAAACGCCTCAGCCTAACACCCCCCCAAACACATCACTCCTCTTTTCGGAAAAGGTCTGCTTTCTTTGTCTTCCCCTGGACCCCGCACCCGTTGTCCTTTTAAAAAAGGTCGACCGGGTCCGTTCGCTTCTTGGCCACGACCAAGGCCCCAGGCGTTCTTCAGAATGCTCGAGGCCATGCCCACGACCAAGCCATGAGCACCCAAGACGGGGCCTCCCGAGTTGCCTGATGGACGAGGCGCGAGGCGCTCATGGGGAGCGTAACTTGGCCTGTTGCGAACTGGGGGGTGGAGGGTGGAACAGGGGGGCGATGGTGAAGTTTCAGGGGAGCTCGTCTGTGTTCTTTGCAGGATGGAGACTCAAGGTGAAGCTGGGAGTGGTCCTGGTTAGTGCTGGCAGTAAAACTCACTCAGTCAATCATCAAAGAGAAATGGAGCTTTGATGGATTTGATTTGGACAGGACAGCCAGAAAGCCGCCGGGCTGGATCTGTGGGATCTGCCCACGATTCGGTCAATTCTGACATAGCTCGACTTTGGAATCACACAACAATGTGTTCCCTATATAGAGCTTAAAAGTATAACATATTTACGACCTGCGCACAACATTTAAAAGGTATACACCAAACAAAACGTAAAACAGTGAAATACCAGATATTGAAACCCGCAATTTGGATACTCTTGACCAGTTCGTGGATTTGCTTTCCACACGCGAAAAATACATCCACTCCAGCTTCGTCTTGCCTTTAACCCCCCAAAAAAGAAGACTCACGCCGACGCTTCGTTTCGCGCGGCGATCGGATGGCGCGCTGCCTGGGTTGATGGCGGCATCGATTTGGATGCGCATCAAACCATCGATATTCACATCGATGCCTAGACGACGTGTCGCCCCGATGCGTGGCGTGGAGTGTCAAAGCTCCAGTGAGCAAGTGAACATGTCTATAGGCAATTGGATTGATATTGTTCAGTGCTGGAAAAAAATGAAGAGTCTCATTTTTGTTTTCTGAGATCAACCAAAAGGGCTCCCAACAAATTGGTTCCCCTGTCAACTTGTCTGAGTGATGAAGTAAAACCTCTAGACTCTATACAGTACGTATGTGCCTATTGCTATCCCGCAGTCTAGCAGTGTGCCCTAATGTTCCTTCGTTTGCAGCAAATTCTCTGCAATTCATATCCACCATAACCTTTGTCGGAGCTTAATCCCAAGGACGAGGCGCCTGTGCTGCCGTGCACATTCTCTAAGTCCACACCCTGCCCTCCTCCCTCGACCCGCCCGAGCACGTCCGGGCCGCCCCGGCGCGAGACCACGCCACGCGTCACGGAGATGTTCTCCCCGCCCACCGGGAAACCAATGCACCTCGACACCGCGCGGCCGGGCAGGGCTATTCAAAGAAGAACAAAAACACATGAGGGACGTCTATAGAACAACTGCATGCATCTAGGCGGTTTAACATGGTTTAACCATGCACCGATAGGCCATTGGATTTCACACCGCGCCCACGCGGCGCCGTGAAACAGCTTGTTTTGGCGTGCCAAACGCGTGGAAGAATGATGAGATGCATTGGGGCATTGGAGCAGGGATAGCGCGAAAGGCTGGAGGCCCGGCCCAAACCCGGCGCGGAGAGGCCAAGAAATGCTCAATCAAATGGCTGTGGGTTAAAGCCCGAAGCCATAATTCCCAGGTTGACCTCCCTAGTCGACTATTCTGTGCATTTATTTATCGGTCAACCAGGGATCCCTCGGTGGGTTTTGACCCACAGCCACACGTGGCTCTGGAGCCGCTGTTGACATTTCACAGCTCCCTCCATGTGTTTCGGTTGCTCACAGTCCTTACAACCTTGGAGGCAGGTCCTTGGTTGCAGGTGGTTGCTGGTTGCTGCTTGGGCATCTTCACTGACAGCACCTGCTAAAAAATCACAGTTTTTAGGGATCCAAGTACCGAACCTCAGGTACGGTGATGTGTTCGGCGCTGTTATGTAGGTGCCAGGAGGGTCCAGTCGTGCCTTACCTGAGGTTCGGGACCGACTGGATCCCTAGGGAGTATACCTTCGATGCTGAACGACGATTCCCTGAAGTTCACACCGGGGCCCTATGTATTTCTGGCTCTCGTCCAGGCGGACGAGCCAGCCTTATCGAGATCGAAGCCCCTGGGGCCGGAGCTCGAAATAGGAAGCTGGGGAACTGCGTCTTTAAAGATGAACACCTGAGACGAACACCGATCTTATAGCTGAAATCGAGCAAGATTACGACAACCTTGGGGGTATACTCATTGCAAATTCCTGCAGGTGGCCTATGCGCCAGCAGAAGACCACAAGCTCTATACCCTCATAGAGGCACTCATAGAGGCTCTACATACCTTAATAGAAGCATACCCTGGTGCAATGGCACTGCAGTGGTGCAGTCCACTGCCAAAATGGAGAAGCAAGACCTGGACCTTATCCATGAAACCTGTGATCCAAGTTCCCTCCTTCACAATCACAAGCTCTGATGACCAAGTGGTATGGAGTGGTGTAGGTCAGCAGGTTTCACCCTTATTTGAAAGCTATAATGCATATACAGTATACAGTATACCTATGCCGCAAAATTCCTCCAACACTCAGTGCCTGCGCCACTCCATACCACTTCTTATCACTCCATACCAGTTCTTCCAGCTCTCGTTCTTCTCTCCTTCGGCCCAAACACGCACGCACGAACAGAGTCAGAGCTGCTAGTGACTTCGTGCGTGCGAACAGAGCTCCCATCCGCGGTTATCCTAGGGGCCGTGCGTGACGTTGTCGTCCAGCTTCGGGATGTCACGGGAGAGGTTCAGGGACTCCTCCGCGGAACCGACTCGGCGTGGTGGAACCCGGGGAACCCGGGGTGGAACTGGCTTTGAGAACGGTTCTTTTGTACGGGATTTACCTGCTATAGAGGTGTGTTGAGGGCTAGGGGTACAGAACCAAACTCCCGAATGGGCGGTTTTGGTGCAAGTGAGTGAGTGCAGTTTAAACTCTAATCCAAAGGCTTTCTACCACCCCCAGATTGGCAATAACCAAATGATGAACCACCAGCTTGAAGTTGCAAAGTCACTCAGCATAGGCCAACTCGCTAGGACAGCCTGAGTCCTAGCGAGTTTGCCTAGGCGGTGTTGCTGCCAACTAAATAGGGTTTGTTCGCGACCTCACCTACCCTTAATCGCCCTGAATACATCAAAAGAACTCAGCTACGGCTTCACAATCCAAAACCATCTAAGTACCACACACATTCACAATCCAGCAATTTGCTTTGTTGTTCAACCCCCCAATTCTCGCAGAAACCATCTTCCCAACAAATCACACCCACCCCTCAATTTTGCCAGACATTCAAGCCCTTTGGATCCACCTTCTGAGAAGGTGGCTTGGAAGGCCCAGTCGTGCCTTCTGGGAAGGTGGCAGTGCATCTCAAGGGAAGGACGGAGCGTCACCCAACTTCTGCGTTTCAAGGTCGCGCGCGCGCGACGCTGTTAGGCGTGGTGACCGTTTCTCGTCTCCCTCGGACGGTGACCGTTCGCCTTGTTCTTCCAGAAGGCCTCGTCCACCTGCAGCACCGCCAGATCACCTGGTCTCGGTTGGGAAGGAGCAGCTGAGCAGCATTGAGTAGCTCGGGTCCTGGGAGAAACATGAGAAACTGCTGAGAATGTGAAGGGGGCATTCGGGGAACAAAGCATGATGAAGCTAGGAGAGATGAGTGATGAGGAAATTGAGGGGATTGACCTCGCTTCAAGTTGAATCACAATATTGGAGGTCTATAATAGTCTACGTATGTCTATAGTATTGTCGCCCATCTTCACCAATTCAGGCCTTTGGAGAGAATGGTATCCATCCCGGTGCTTGCCAGGGACCCCCTTCGGCGTTATAACAGGCACGATTCTACAATGATTCTAGCCTAGCCTTGTTTGGCTGCTGGTCCTGCTCTACATGAATTCTAGCCGACTCCTGGTCCTGCTTAGCAGGTGCCCTTTTTCTTCGCCTCCCACCTCTGGGCGCAGGTTGCGAAGGAAAAAAAACGGGAATGTTGCTGTTGTTGTTGTTGTTGCTGTTGTTGTTGTTGCTGTTGTTGTTGTTGTTGCTGTTGTTGTTGTTGTTACCTTGTTCTCGGGCTCGGTTTGGGATGGGCCGGTTTCGGTTGTGTGGTCGTCACGCTTTAGGTTTGTGGATAAGTCACCCTTTAGGCACTTATATAACAGGCACGGGGTGAGCTTCTTGAACAAATTGGTTGAGCGAGCTGAACCCATGAGAAATCCATCAAAATACGTATGCAGATCTATGCAGTAGCTTCCTCACAAAAGAAGTTCCCCTTGCGTCGTAGAAAAACAACTGACCATCTCGACCCGCACAGCTTCAAGAGGAACCAGCGGAACCAGCCACATCTGCCAGGCCACAAGGTAAGCCCACAGCAACCACCCTGACAGGGAGGCCGACTGCGCGACCCGGCGCGACCGAAGCTGCAACTCCCGGACTTGTTCAAGAATCCACATGGATCTATGGAGCAGAACTCCACTTTGCCATGTTGCAATGCCCATGTTCTAATTACTTAATTAAGTTGATGTTGTTTCCACCTTGGATTTGAGGTGGGGTGTCATTTCAATTATCTCCCAAATCAGATCAAAATAGATCAAAATCTTGTGATCCACCTTCTTTCCTATATAGGTCCTATATAGGTACACCACCACGCGGCCAATTGAACCCCTCCCCCCCGCAACCGAGAGCTCGCTCCATGCTCGGTCCACGCCTGGCGTTGTACTTCACCGGATTTCCCGTGGTGGGCCGCACGAGCACCGAGACCGCACGGTGCACCACGTGCGCGTTGGTGACCACCCACCTGGTCGGGTGTGGAGCCGGGCGTCTCGCGTTGGATCAAGGACGAGACGCCGGCGTGGGTCGGCCCGGTTGGGAGGATCTCCACATGTCAGAAAGCACGTGGTTTTCTACGGTGGGTTCGATGGTGATCGCAAAAAGAGTGTTTCTCGCATTCTTGCAAGACTTCTTTTAGTCCTTCCAGCCAAGTCTGCAATTATATAATTGATTATAATTGGCAGTGCCAGTCGGTCAAACAAGCACAACGAGTATCAATATTATGGTTCTGCTATGTTCTGCTGCAACCGACAGTTGATACAAACATCTATACAAACAGTCAACTGACGGAGTGGTGATTCGGTTATATACTCTTCTCTTGCCCCACTGCCCGCCCATGCCATGCGCCGCTCGCATGGCGGAGAGACGGGGTACCCCCGACCCGCCTATTCTCCAGCAAAAAGCCGGTTCCGGTGGAGGATTGCTGGCCTCGATCGATGCGACAGGGGGAGGATCAGAACCCTCCGAAAACCGGAGAAGGGTCCTAGCCGGTGGGTGTTCTTGACCAAATGACATGAAAAGTCACATAGACCCGTCTTGGCGCCCCTGGAAGATGGTTTTCCTCTACCAATTCAGTGGTTTTCAGGGTCCATGGGATCGTCTTCCAGCAGATTAAGTCAGAATGGATGCACAGGTGGAATGAATGGGCACTACTACCATCCATAAGATTACGGATTTAGGGACCGCTGCACTAGGATCATGTTGATGGTGCAACTTTGCTTTGCGGCAAAAACTATGCATCCAAACCAGATCGCCAAGGGCCCATCACTGCTCGCCCAGCATCGACCTTAGGTGGATTTGGGTGATGTTTCCTTCCTTTTGCATCCAAATCCACCCAGACCGACGATGACGGTCCTCCCCTCAACGGACCTCCCCTCCCCTAGCTCCCCTCCCCGTCGGAGCTGGTGCGAACACAGGAGCTGTGCTTCCGCCACGGGTCCGCGAAATTGCACGGCGCCTGTGTTCGCAGTGCTGGGCGGTGGAGTCCGCGAGGTTGATACGGCTCTTGACATCTACTGTGTAAAGATCGGAAGATGAGGGCGAGGATCACGCTCATTGAGTGGATGAGCCCAGTCGTGTTCGCTCGGCATCGTCATTGATTCAAATGGCCCGAGTGTTCGTTGGGTGGGGAAACCGGTTGAAAAGTTAAGACCGTTGATGAACGCCCGGTAGCAAACGAAACACGACCCATACTAAGAGAGCCCCCTGTACATTTAAAGGGTCAATGGCACAACATCCATGTCAAACCCACACATGGACATACTCGGCATACCAGTGTTGTGGGCATTCATCCATGTCATCTATGTCTCTACCGCACCTTCCACAGGCCTTCAACAAGAATGCTAAATATTCCAGAGATGGTTCATCTAGCGGAATGCACATATTCAATGCTCATTGCGGTGTTCGCCGCTGCTCACAAGATCATTATCAGCAAAATCCTGAGCATGGAAGATTACCCATGTTGTACAAGGTGGGATGTCTTCTTCAATCCTTGCCATGGATAACCCTACCCACATGCATCATCCCCTTTGCATCTCCTGCCCGGCACCTTTCTCACGAAAAGCTTGCAAACAGACCCGGTGCCAGCTGAAACTCCACGAGTGTCCACGCTGGTGCGCTTTGGACCTCGCAGTCGATCTGGGAATCCGATCAACTAAGCTCTGCAGGGAGCACGTGTCAGGAGTGTGACCCAATGTGGGTGTGTAGAGAAGAATTGGGAGACCCCTTGGTGCAATGGGAGGTCTCACTAGTTTTTTGTACGCCCATGTATTCTCTCAAAGAAAGGATCTGTTCAAACAAGCACTTGCTGAATAAAACCCTCGCAAAGAGGGTGTTCTCACGAATATGTGCGAGGACATTGGTTCTCCGCAAATCACCAGGCCAAAAATGGTTCGCCACGAACTCTGAAGTTGGAGTGGGTTCGTGGTGCCAGTCATCCAGTCAGGTCCATAAAAGCAATCCCCTTCAAACAATCAAACAAAACAAACAACAAACTATTCACGCCTGTTTCATGCACCCCACTTCGGGTTTGTCTTACTCCAAATGTCTCACTGTAGTCGATGAAGCCAAGCAACCAGCACGAGGACGCTTCGGCCGTGGCTCGCCACGCGATTGTCCACCTGCAGCGAACTGCGGAGCCCCGTTCATCCCCGTTCGATGTCTTCGTGGGCGTGACGAATACCTTGCTGGATGAAAAGGACCTCGTGCCGAAGATTGAACAATTACTCCAACCGAACCTACCCCACTAGGCCCCACTCTCAACCTGCCTCTGGGCTTTGGGCTCTATGGGAGTCGTCAACCAGTCGAAGTGCGGACCATTCGTTGAAGGAGCATGGAGGGAGGTCTCTTGCCTCAACGTCGCTCCTCTGTGTTGGTCGATTGCAGTCTTGTCAAAAAAAGGAACATGTTGAAGAGCCACAGCCCGAAAGTTCTGCTTAAAAGTCCCCCCACCAAAAACTTGTCTCTCTTCTCAGTGGACGGTTTCGACCGTTGGAAGTGTGCATTCCTGTTCCTGCTCTGACACGCCAAGGAACAAAACGGACTTGCACCATCCTAAGTCCTGGACAAAACGAACCGAACCTGGCAGCTGAGAACCGTCCGGCCGGCATGTCACCTAAAAATGGATCTCACCCGAATTCGGGACATCGCAGGTATAGACTGACCAGATAGACCAAATAGACAGACTGGTCATTTAGACGGTCTTCACCAAACCCGAGCCCTGCTGCGAGCGCTCAGCGTCGCCTTCCGAGCGCTCAGCGTCGCTCTCCGACATGGGGACGGTGGCTTTTTGGTCCAAGGACTCAGGTCTATGAGGTCTTAGGTTGGAATCCTATAAGGTCTATCAGGTCTTATAGGTCTATCAGGTCTATCAGGTCTTAGCTTGGAGTCCTTGGGCTTGCCATGAGCCCAGGGGCCTTTTTTTGAGGTGGCACGATGGCGCTCGATTCGCCGAGAGGAGCCGAGCCGGATGGCTCCCCGCTGCTTGGAGGTTCGGGACCTTCAGTGCGGATCGTGGGGCAACCTGATAGCCAAGACGGGCCAACTCATGCAACCTCCCCAAACGCCCTTGCGCATAGCGACTGGGAAACTGTGGGAGTCTGACTGGGACATGAAAAATGACAAATCACCAAGGCAGATCCGAAGCAAAGAGGTGTGGGACAATGGTTGATCATGTCCATTTTGTTGACACGTGCTGTGCTTCTTAAATGGCATCTCTCTTGCAAGTAGTTGCAATGGCTTCCGAAGGTTGGAAGCTGCCCAGCATGCTTAAAGGCTGCTTCATGCCGTCTACTCAACTGGTGGGAGTTTTCTTGCTGAGAGTCCTCTACTAAAATTGTAAAGAATACATATATTGTAAAGGTATGGAGTGAATACCTATCACGTGTGACCGCTCGAAGTGTCAACGTGGAAACAAGTAAGCTGCATGCGACTCTTTTGCGTAGCGAGCGTGAATGCTCAAGGGGCCCCTCATGGGCCAAGTTCATGAACCAAGAGCGGCGAAGCGGCAGGTTGGAAACCGCACATGCCAAAAGCTCTGCTTTCCTTCTCTTTGGGTGGCACCCAAATCACACCGGTGGTTGTGGCCAAGAAGCTCGTCAGAACTCTCGCCACTTCATCATCTCCTGCTGGGCGCAGAAGGAGCAGTAGTCATACTGCCTCATCGTGCCAGCATCGGCCCCAGAAAGGCCTTGGCAGTCCGGGTAGATGTGGTACTTGCTGCCCGTTCTTGTAGTCCACACTGACCTTGGCACTGGGTTGCGATCAAGCTCGTACTTGATGGCTTCCAGTTTGTCATAGGCAGTCTGCCATTTGATTCTCACATCTTTGTATTTGCCGTCGAGCTCCCCGATGTCACCGGACAAGTAGTCCCGCATCAGGGTGAGGTCGTCCACTTCCTTCTCCAATTCGTTGTTCTCGCCCTCCAGCGCGTCGAGCTGGTCTTTGAGCTGGGCGTTGTAGGCATCTGAATCTCGTAGGTCTTGTTGAAGTCGTGTGATCTCCATCTTGAGGAGGCCAAACACATTCTTCTCGAGGGCAGTCTCCGCCTGGGTGCCACATTCTTTTGTGCTAGAGCTTGGACTCTCTGTCGTCATCGTCCAGGTCTCTGTCGTTGTCATTGTCCTCAATGTCGTCGGAGTCGTCGTTGTAGCCCTTCCCCACATGTGCCATCCCACCATGGTCATCAGTAGGATGAGGAGAGTGAGGGTCATCTCAGGAGAGAAGGCGAAGTCCAGGGCCATCTCGAAGCTAGGCTGCATGGCTTGCACCATCATCATCTGCGAGGTGAGGATCATGTAGGCCAGGCTGTGTCGATTCCCTGATCGACTGATCGCATGCTTGCGAGCATTGGCCTGCCGTTCAGCCAGAGTCTTCTTCTTGGCGGCCTGAAAGGTCATGTCTGACCGTAGGGAGATTTGGTGACTCCTCAAACGGTCAGCGAACAGCTGCCTCGCTGAGGATTTGGTGACTCCATCAGCTAGCTGGATCTCTGAGCTAACCCAGCGCAGCTTCGTGTTCATGGAAAGCATCTTTTGCTTTGTGACCATGACCTCGATCTTCGTCCGCTTGTCTCCTTGGAGACTGGGTGTCTCGGCTTTGAGGCTGTCGTAGAGTGCTTTGGCGTCTACCACCAGAGCTGAGGAGAGAGAGGGCTTCAGCTCGTTGACCTGTCGAAGCTGGAAGTCGTGCTTCAAGCATCCTTCCCAGAAGATGAGGAGGTATTCCAAGGCGTCCATGGCTGCTGAGCAAGCTTGACTCTCAGCATTCAACGAGGATCTGCTGACCCTTGGTAGTTTGAAGCTCCTCCAATCCAGGATGACATAGTCGTGGTCGGAGGTGTCATCGAGCACGGCCTTGTTGCAAAGAAGGACCAAGTAGCCTCCTTGACTCTCATTGTTTCTCCTCACACCCCAGGCGGCATCACTCATCGCCACCATGCACAGGTTGTCCAGCGAACCTCCCAATGATCTGAAGATCAGACCAGCGTCGTTGTTGTTCTTGGCGAAGCGGAGGGTCTTGTTTGCTTGCTGGGCAACACCAACCGTGGATGTAGTGACTTCTCCACATAGAAGCGACACTGAGGCGCATAGGTGTGGTGAGGTCTGAGTTGCCGGCCATTGAAGTGCTCCGAGTAGCGCTCGAAGTGAGCTCTGCTCGCGAGAGTTGAGATCTCGCTCAAGATCGTTGTCGGCGCAGGTCATGGGCTTGATGCCTTTGAGGTAGTCTGCCTGCGTCATGACTGACTCGGTGGCCGTTCGTGCCAGCTGACAGCCGCAGAACTCTAGACTCTAGAGGTCGTTCTCCTTCCTTGGTCCAGTGCTTGAAGTTGAAGGAGGTCTTGAGGCTGTCGGTGAGCTGCTGGTACGTTGGCGATGAAGCTAGGCCACAGCCAAATAGATCATCAACGTGGATGCCAACCATAGCTGTCAAGGCTTTGTTCTCGTCGTAGAACATGTAGAGGCACTGATCCAGAGGATGGGATTGGAATCCCAACTGCAGTAAACGGCGTCTCGCCACTGCGAACCACTGCCTTGGAGCATCAGCCTGTCCGTAGAGGGGCTTGATCAAGCGCATGAGGGTGCCCGGAGGAACGCCGATCAACTCGCAAGCGTCCTTGGGGATCCGAGCCCACAAGATCCTCTGCTGAGGATCACCCTGAAGGAATGCCGTTGCAACGTCGGCAGTCCAGCGCTCCCAGGAAAGCACCTCGGAAATGGCGATGATCACCTGGCGAGAGCTCCTTGACAAAGTGGGTGATGAAGTGTCGAGTTGACCTTGCAGTAGGTCGGGATCAGCAAATCCCTGAAGGACCAGTCTTGCCTTGGCCTTGAGGCCACCTTTCCCATCAGCTGCCCACTTGAGAACGAAGCGAGCGCGCATGACCCTGTTGTGGTCAACAGACTGTGGATCGAGTTCGATCTCCCAGACTCCGTTCTCGAAGATGCTGGAGAGCTCATTCTTCTTGCCCTCCAAGAAGGCCAAACGGTCTTCCAGGGACATTTTCTTCTCGTTGAGGTCTGCGCTCTCCTTGACGTTCTTCTTCTTGGGGCTAGCGGCACCGACTGCTTGCCAAATGTGTCCACGGCCTCTGAGCGTCTTGCAGCGGCTGAGCTTGTCGGAGAGGTCGCCAATGTAGTAGAGACCAGTCTTCTCTGCACCACTGACGGTGAGGGGGTACAAGGTCTTGCCTGTCCAAGCTTCGCTGAAGTGCTGCTGCTCATTGGAGTTGACATAGATAGTTCGTGAACCTTGCTGGAGCGTCAGGCCGGTGGTTGTTTGTAAGTAGGAGGGGTCAATGGGAAAGGTCTCCGGCTTGTAGGTTGACTTTCTTCCCCAAACATGGTTTCTGACCAAAAAGCCGTCCTCATAGCTCCACCAATCTGCGGTCTTGCCGAGGGTGAACTCGTGGGTCTTCTCATCATAGTGCCATCCGGACGGGAGAGGTGTGGACTTGCTGAAGTCAAAGCTGTTAAGGTTGAGGTCCACATCACCATCATCTGTCCGGGCTTTCTTACGAGTCCAGATCGTCTCTTGCTGATCGAAACGACGGCGTCGATCTTGGAAGGATTCATGAGCTGGTGGTGCATAGAGAGGATCAACGGTCATTGGACCTGATGAAGATGATGCCTCAGGTGCGGGCACATCGGCTGGTTCAGCCTTTGGAGAATTCAGATCATCATCTTCAGGTACAGGAAGATCTGCTGGATCGGGACGTGGGTCTTGTTGATCCGCCCTGGCCATTGGAGTTTGGAGGTGAGAAGGTTCACCCATAGGCTCCTCAAAGTCATCATCATCCAGTTCAGGAAGTTCTGGATGTCGCTCATGAGGTTGACGTTCCTCCAACTGAGGTTCCAGCTGCAGTGGCTCTGACTGAGCATCCGGAGGTTCTGCTTCTGGAGGTTCTGCTGCTGGCAATGCCTCTGCTCTCGACTGAACTGCCTCCTGCATTGAGCGGTCGAAGGCTTGTTGAACTCCGTCAGGTAGAGCAGGCGAGGACATAGTCAACGAAGCGGGATGATGAGGATCTGGAAGCGAAGGCTCATAGTCACCGACCTCAGGGTCAACTTCATCTATCGATCGCTTATTGGCCTTTCGCAAATCCACGATGCGAACGGATCTCCTTTGTCTCAGGCCGTCCAGGGCTTGTTGAGCTCGTTGCACTGCTCCGATCTGTCCGCCATCATTGACCATCTTGCGAACGTGTTGAACTCCAGCACGAAGGAGCACAGTGCCGTGAGCGAGCCAGTAGACACTAACGGTGCCTGAGTCCGGGTTGCGTTCCACAGCAACCACTACCGCAGGTCCTCTCCAGCGGATGATGTGGTTCTTGTCGGGAGCATCACGCCAGTAGTAGCATCGTTCGCCTGGAAGAAGCTCCTCGTCTTTGCCAGTGAAGCGTCGGAGTAGAGCTCGGCGAAGTTTCACGTCAATCTCAGCCTTGCCACAAGCACTCTGTGCGGCGAACTTGAGGTTGAGCTTTCGATGCAATTTCTCCTGCTCGGTGAGTTGTAACTGCAATGGACCTGTGCGTTCATCAGTCAACAGTCCGGGAAGAGCAGGTTCTCGACCGAGAGCGAGCTGAGTGGGCGTGAAGCCATTGACAAAGCTGTTGCTGTTGAGAGCTGGAACCACCCAAGATAGTGCGCTGTGCACGCCATCCAAACCTGTGAGGTTGTTCTCCATCATGAAGATTGAAACTGCTTTGCGCACAATCTGGTGTCGTCGTTCCACTATGGATGTCCTGGTGTGAGCTTGACCAGGTGAGATGCGGAT